TAGTGACACCTCAGTAGTACAAATTATCAAGCATTCCTGATGAACCTGGTGTCAAAATCATATGTAAACTCAATATTTCCTACACTGAAAAATTAATTAAGAAATCTCTATTGGAGACTGGAGAGCTAATTCAATAATTAAGAGCACTTGCTGTCCTTGTAGAAGACTGGTATTTGGATCCCAGTACCACACTGGGCAGCACACAACTTCCTGTAACTACAGCTCCAAGAGATCTGATGCTGTCTTCTGGCCTCCAGGGGTACCTGCACCCATGTGTACATACTTGCATGCACACACACACACACACACACACACACACACACACACACTATCAAATTTCCAACTCTATTGCATTGTTAGTCATTAAAAAATCACATGTCTTTTGTACAGTACTGGATACTAGGTAATGATAATAAGTAGTGATAATAAATCAATGATCTGTAAGTTTTAGTGCAGTGGCTCATTAGTGTGTATTCGCTCATCATAAAACAATGGCCACATACTCCTGCAGCAGCCTCAACATCTGCTTAGCTGACCCTGGTTTGCAACAGGAAGCCACACTGAGTATGTGAAATGCACCGTCTAGGCCTGATGCATCAGCACTTGTTATACTACATTTCTGAGAATGTTTCCTGGTAACCAAGTGACTCATGTTTTCTATATCAAAACCTCATGCTGAACATCATCAACGTTTTAAAATCTGTCAATCAAACAATTCAAATGAACTGGAAAATTATAATGGCTTCAGAAATGTGTAGTCGGGTAAGTAAATTGATATGTGACACTGGAGTGCACTTTTTGTTTTGTAAGTCATTAAAATGACCGTTGGTGATAGCAGATTGGGTCTGAGGATTCCAAGATAGCAATTCTTGTGCATTCATTTCCTGGTTTTGGTGGCTGTGTAGTGGCTTGTGGATAAGAACATCCTTGTCAGAAGTCATATACTAACATTTTCATGGGAGGCTGTGGGTGTGACTCAGTGGTTGAAAGCCCTGGCTCCGTCCCTGGCACCTGAAGAAGGTTTGGGTGTGGTGAGACCAGATACCTGAAAAGCTCTTCAGCCCTTTTTCCTTCTCTCGGCACTTTCCAAGTAAGTTTGGTGTTCTATCAGCAGAAAAAGAAAGCAAAAGCAGAATTCCCCCCCCCCCAAAGGCTCTCTGTTCATTAGGAAAGGAAAGAAGCACCTTGGTGCAGATGCCGCAGCCAGCACCAAGCCCATTTATGTCACAGGAAGCACCCCACCCCCACAAAGTAGGAAGTGGTGCAGCCTGGGAATGGGTACATAGCCAATAGTGTCTGCTTCAGTCTGAAATCTGTATCTGTGATCTTGATCGGCGGGAACACGGTGCCATTAGCAAAGTGAACCATACCAGACATTGGACTATTTGCACTTTCCATTCCTTGCCAGCCTTGTACAGAGGGTGAGGGAAACCGTGATGGTGAGATTATTGTAAGGAGGATCATGGCTCATTCCACATTGCAAACATCTATCAAAATGTCACATTTTGTTCCCCATAAATGACTATTTGTTCATTAAGAATAAAATAAGAGAGAAAGAAGTTTGTAAATGGAGCTTTTCACCAACAAATAATTGCAGTATGATAAGAGTTCTGGAATGCTGTTATCCTGGGGCTTAGTGAGTACTTAGACCAAGGAGCCTAGAGAATGGAAGTGATGGAGTTGGCATCTGATGCCAACTTGCTCTGCTGATTCAGGGATGACACCATTCAATAAGTGACATTGGACATTGAAAGCATGTGTCCTTCTGATGCTGGTACAGTGCCCCTCAACTCCAGGTCCTGTGGTGATATATTATTTATGATCTAATAAAGCTTGCCTGGAGATCAGAATGCAAAGCTAGCCATAGCCATAGAGTCCAGGCAGTGGTGGTACACACCTTTAATCCCAGCAGGCACACTAGTTAGCCATAGAGCTGGGCGGTGGTGGTGCATGCCTTTAATCCCAGCACTAGAGGGGTATATAAGATAGGAGCAGGGTCTCAGAGTTGGTATTCTGTCTTAGGCAGTTAGTCTCCAGCCACGTTGAGGACAGAATTTCCCTAGCATTGGTAGAGGTAATAGCTCTCTGATGGCGTGGCTGCTTTGCTTTTCTGATCTTCAGCTTGAACCCCAATATCTGTTTCTGAGTTTTTATTATAAGTGCTACAAGGTCCTCCTGGAAGAGACAGCAATTAAGCATAATTAAGAAACTTGACTGCAAGACCAAGAAATGTCAACTTCTATGTGAGAATCAGGGAGCTCCTTATTGTTCTTGAAGAAGAGAGTGCACAGGAAGAGCGCGCGCGCGCGCGCGTGTGTGTGTGTGTGTGTGTGTGTGTGTGTGTGTGTGTGTGTTAGTAGCTTGTCTAGAAGCAGTGTAGAGATACTAAGGTCTTGTCTGGGAGAACATGAAAAAGTATTGTCTTATTGATAGAATATGTGTCTTACTGATAGAATATGTGTCAGGCAGGATATGATGGGGGAGGATGATGGAAGGGCACTGGATTGAGTGGCCCACTGGAGGGAGATGGGAGTTCCTAATAGAGAACTCAGACACTCCAAATGCAGGGGCAGGGCTCTTGATGAACGGGAGGATCAGGGGTGTGCTCCAGGAAGGTATACTTGGTGGCCACCTGGTAGGCAGAGGCAATCTAATCCTGCTGGAGTTTCAGCAGGACAGATCATATATCAGTCAGTCTATGCTTCATATTCATCCTTGTATCTCTAACAACAGAAAATTGGGCATTGAATAAATGGACAAAGCTTCTTCCACAGGGCCTTTGTACGTGATATTCCCATATGCATCTTTAACCCTTGATCCTCCCCTCTTGGTCAGATCAGGGTTCATTCTTGCCAGGTCAGATATCATGTCTCAGGGGCACTTAAAAAAAAAAAAAACAAAAAAACTCACTAGGGCCAGTCTCCTTTTTGTGAGTCTTCCTTTTATGGTACCTATAGTAACTCTAGTTTCACATTGACCTGAAGATGTGTTTACCTGAAGCTGGTCTCCATAGTCTGTAAAATTCATGGAAGAAGTGGTCATTGTTTTGCCAGTCCTTTTGCACACAGCACAAGGACTGAAAACCATAGTGTGTATTGAACATTTCTAGGCTGGCTGGCTGACTGACTGCTGGCTAGATGGCTGGCTGAATAGATGGCTGGCTGGATAGGCAGACGGATGAGTGCATTGGTAGATGGACATGAGACTATTCCACTGGTACTTTGGGGAAGTGCCCAGGAAATGGATGATGCCCCAGGAGCATCTTGTGGAGAATTCGAACTTTCAATAGATAACAGACTTTATCTTCAGGTAACCAAGAAGGAGCCGAAGCATGGGGTAGTGGGTGGAGTTTGTACCTATGTAAGAGAAAGAGTACTGAAAATGAGAAAAAAGAAAGAGTACCAAAAAGGAGAAAAAGTACTGAGTTCGGAGGCTGGGGACAGATGGACCAGGTTTTGGAAGGCTTCAAATGCTAGTGTTAAAGTCTGGTTCCTAACCTGGCAGGCACTGGGGAGCTCTGGGAATTGATTGAGGGCTAAGAGTGCTTAGAAGTTGTATTTGAGACCACCCAATAATGGGCAAATGGAGGGAGGTGGGAGAGATGTGCCAGGGACTGATTCCCACCACTGTAGGAGACATCACAACAGTTTTGTCAGACTTGTACAGCACATAAATGGGGGCTGCGGTAGGGTCAGGGCAACAGATGGGAAATTTTAAGAAGCGCACTGATGACTGGAACGTGCACTCTTGGGACCAGTGTCTTTTTCATCCTTGTATATCTGGTGGAAAAAGAAACAGTTACTTAGAAATTGTGTGAAGGAAATAAATTTGAGGACTGAAAATACTCTGACCATAAAAGGGAGATAAAATCATGCCCCCCCAACTTTGTATTTGGCTCACAAAACCGTAACGTGCATGCCTGAAAGGAATGAGAATGTTCTACAAGCAATTCTTTTCTCTCTCTTTGTCTTTCAGACTATTAAACAAGGCTCCCCAAGGGATTGGAATTTCCTCCCAGGAATCTTTTCCTGGGACAAGGAAAAGGCTGAATGAAGTTTGATGCCAGCCAGAGAGGCAATCTGTGACCTGGAAAGATTTCGTACAGTGCAGACAAGATGGCTTGACCCATGGCAGAGTCAGTGATGATGTAACAATGGGTAGGACCAGGGCTGCTTAGTTATGCACACTTCTTCCATCCTATTTAAACCTAAGCCTCTTGTAAGTACCCCAAAGATGGATTTTTGTGGGGATGGGTGATAAGATTTTTGCCAGATCTTATCAAGTTAAACAAATTTCCTTTTTATGTTTCACTATTAATTTGGCTCTTATAATTGGCTTATTGAGGATGGCTGGCTGAGACTGACTTGTTAGGGCTGCCAAGGGCACAAGCTCCAATCCTTAATTCTAGTAACATTTCTACTTTTATGGTACCATGAGATACAGATATGTGTTTCTATAGGATATTTGAGAGCATGGGGAGAGCAATGGCAGAAAGGAAGCAGGAGTCTATTGAAGTAACTTATTAGCATTTACTCATCTTGGCAGTACCAGCTCATGGTCTTGGGGATAAGACCACCTCTTACAGGATCAGTGTCGTGGTGTAAATAATTAGAAAAAGGCGTGCATGTGAAATTCATAAACCTTTTATTGATATGTTTATCATGCAAGCATATTTACTGAAGATTCAGATTCCACTTGAAAAAGAGGCAAACAAATGGGGTTGAGAGCCCATCCTGCCTTGTGCAGGGATCCCATGTCCAGGGGTGGGGGGAGGAAGCACAGCCTACAGCTACTTGATTGGATCCCTCAGAAATGCATTCTGGGAAATTTCTCCTAGGGTTCCCTTGCAGGATACCAGTGTGTCTTTAATTGCTTGCAGTTGGGAAACAATAAATTCATTAGAAGACTTCTTAGAATACCTCTGGTTAAAAAACTACTGACCCTCAAGGATCTACCACCACTCAACCTAGAATATGGGCTTTGTAGTTGGCTGTGGCGTCCGCCCCAGTGGATGGCTTCAGTCTCCTGGTGGGATCCAATAGACTCTGGCTGTGGTTGGGCAGCCCTTCAGGAGCGTTTGGACTTGCTACAAGTGGGGCACAGGAGCTGACCCTTGGTGACGATGTACGCTCGGCCACTCAGCAGCTGCTCACAGCCCTCACAAATGAAGTGCTTCCGATGCCAGGCCAGGTCTTCCACTCGCTGGTAGTCTTCTGAGAAGATGATCTGGGAAGAGAGACAGAGGAAGGCAAGACTGAGATTCTGCCCATAATTAGAGGCAGTGTGTAGAGGATAAATTATGGGATAGTAGTTTATTACTTCCCATTTGTGTTGTGACCTTTAACTGCCTCCACAAAGCAATCTGACATAATCTGAGGGTCATGGTTGTGTCTCAGTTTTTCAGACACGGGAAAAAAAAATACTCTGCTACAAGCAGGTTTTTATTTATCTGTCTGTGAAACTTTTGGGGCAAGTCCAGAGGTCAGTTATTTTTGAGTTGGGAATACAGAACTTGAGTGACCCTAGAAGACAATTAACAGTGAAGGAGCAGACAGTGGCCATTTTCTAAAAACAAGACACCAAGGGGTGGTCTGTTGGACCCAGAATAAAGTGACACCCTAGACTCATTCCAGGAGCTGAGGAAAGACAGAATGGAAAACTGGTGTAATGGGCCTTCTGATATAGGAGCATAGCAGGACAGGAACATGGGCTGTCACTTAGACATTTGCTAGCTTTGTGAGTTGGTGAATTATATCACTTCTCTGTCCCTCCACTTACACATAACCTAGCTTTAAAAAAATGCTAAGAGGAAGGTGGATCTCTGTGAGTTCAAGGCCAGCCTGTTCTACAGAGTGAATTCCAGGACAGGCTACAAAACAATACAGAGAAACCCTGTCTCGAACCCCCCCCCCAATAAATAAAAATAAAAAAAATGCTGTTGTCTAGGCTTTAAACTTGACTCTTCATACTTTCATGGCAAGCATTTTATTAGCTGAGCTAACAGGATGATCCTCCTACATCCAACCTCTAGAGTTCTGGGGTTGTAAGTGTGTGTCACCATTTTTAACTCAGGCCCATTTTGTAGATGAGAAAATAGAGCCTGGGAGCACCCAGTGAAGCCTAGCTCAGTTTTCTTAGATGTAGAATACACCATCAGCAAAGCCACACCTATTGGCCTTGGGCTTGTACTATCTAGCATGACCACACCCACTTGCTCCCATCAGCCCACTGACTCTCACCTCATCACAGCCTGAGCATCGGGGTCTCAAGCTCTCACAGTAGTGGCGGCCACACCAGGGTGCACCATCCTTCCAGAAGTAGATGAGGTCCACCAGGGGCTCTGAGCACTTGATGCACACAAAGCATGTGGGGTGCCACTGCTTGCTGTAGCCAGCCCTATCAGCATAGACCACTGGGCTGTCAGCAGGGGCTGCTCCTTTGCAGAGCTCACAGACCTGGAAAGGATATGAGAAAGAGGGACATGTGATATAGGTTTGAATCCCAGTTCTACCCTCTCTATACTTCTGTGCTCTGCTCTTTGGTTTCACCATTTGCAGAGTGGGATGAAAGTATGGTCTATCTTTTGAGGACTAAATAATGTGACTTGAGGATCCCTGTGAGTCTCAGGTTGATTAGCCTCAACACCCTTTGTGTCCTTGGAGCTATTGAGATTTCCGCAAAGTTTGTGATATGTGAAACAGTGATTGATAGTCACTTTAAGAGAAATTAAAACTGAGAACATTTAAACTACTTACTCCCTTGCAATGATAGGAATAAGCGTATATGGTATGGTAGCATATGTGTTTTATGCCTGAAAACAAATGTATTTTCTAAAACAAAAGACATTAGTGAGAAGAACAATTGAATGTGTCCTATTTCAAACTGTACAGTTTGAAAAATCTTTTAAATAACTCACTTAAGATGGCTGGATACTCTTAGCTACTCATGTGGCTATATTTTGGTTGAAAAATGTAGAGGAACTCTGGCCTCACGCTGATAAGTTGGACTAGGAAGGGAGGAGTATTTTAATAGCCGTCCAAGAAAACAGGATATGCGTCTTTGAGTCTACATCAAAATACAACAAATGGCTGTTTCTCAGAAGTTAGTTATGGGCCTGAGGTGGCTCAGGGGGTAAGGGTGCTTGCTGCCAAGCCTGATGTCCTGAGTTTGACCCTCGTGCACCACACCATGGAAATAAAGAACTGACTCTAGAAAATTGTCCTCTGACCTCCACATGTGTGCTCAAAAAATATCATCAGAAAATGTCACCACATATAGTATGAGGTTACAGGAACCCTTCCTTTTGTTCAACTTTGAATAGATTTCTTGCCCTGCATTGTCTTCTTTCTATTATTGAATACTTTGAGATTTACAGAAAAAAAAGCAGTGAATTCCCACATACCATATGCTGTTCCCTCTGTTCTTAATTGGCTTGTCTCAACTGAGTACCTTTGCCAGTGAGCTAGTAGTAACAGGTCGTTGAGGAACTTCATTCAGGTATCCTCAGATTATCATTTGACCTCTTTCCTCTATTCTGGTACACATCTAGGACCCTACACTTAGTCTTCTGCTTTTTTAGGCTCTCCTTTTACAGAAAGGAATGTCAGTTTCTTAACATGTCTCTGTTTGTGGGACCTTGATAATCTGGGGGAAGTCATGGTCAGATTTTGTAAAATGTATGCCAGTTGGAATCCAACTGATGTCACCATCATGAGGTAACACTGAGGTGAGGATCCCAGAGGCCAACCCTGCTCTTGTCACCTGCTAACAGGGGCATATGCTGCCACCATACCTCCTAAGGAGTTGTGTTGACTTTGGTTGGACAAGGATGTTGACCTTGATCTTCTGACTGAGATGTGGTTGTCAGATTTTTCCACAGAGAAGATTTCTTCCTCTTTACATTGTCTCCTTTGCAAGAAGCTTACTCCATGTTCCTCATTAAAGAGCCCTCTACTTTCTCAGGGTTCAAGTAACTACATATACTATGTGGAATCACACAAAACCTTGACCTCACAGGTTCCCCTAAAGGCACTTTGAGAACCATCTATCCACCAACCTATCCATCCAGCCACCTACCTGTCCATCTACCCATCCATCCATTTACTACCCACCCACCCACCAAACCATCCATCCTTCCATCCACCCACCCACCCTTCTGTCCACCCACCCGCCTATCTATCTATCCATCAATCCACCCACCTATCTAGTCATCCATCCATTCATCCTTCCATACCTCCCTCTCTTCCTTCCATATTTATAAACGTGTTTTTCATCCTCTCAGGAATAGGAATTTGACAATCTTACAACATAAACACTCTTGAGCCATTTTAAATCCTCTTCTGTTTCTCAAAGATCCAGGATGATGATGGCTCTTATGTCCTTAGGGCATGTCTGTACCCTGCAGTGTGCTTGGGATAGTGTACCCATTATGAATAACCTCACAAATACCTGGCAGTTGTTTCTGTGTTAGGAAAACAGTTGTTTTCCCTTCTAGAGACAACCATGCCTGAGAGACTTAGTGATGTACAATTTTTAGAAGACGAAGCTGGAGTGAGAACCTAGCCCAAGCTCCTCCAAAGCCAGGTCTCTGGACTATGTGCTATGCCTTTTACAGCGCGTGCACACACACACACACACACACAAACGTAAATAAAAAAAATTAAAAGTCTACTATGATTTGGAGTCAGAATGTTCCAGATAGGCCCTGTGTAAATGGCTTGGTCCCAGCCTCTAGACATTAGTGATGAGAAGTGGGGCCTGATAAGAGGTCGTAGGGATGTGGCCTTGAAGGGGATGGTGGGATGCGCATCTCTTAATCCCTTTGCTGTCTGGTTACCATGTGGTGAGCTGTTTTGTTCCACTACACATTCACCATGGTTTCATCACCTTACTATACACCCAAGGTGACAAGGGCAACTCACCATAGCGAGAAACCTAGGAAATTGTGATCTTAATGAGCCTTTCCCCCTTACTAAGTTGATTCTTCCAAATATTTGCTGCAGTAACAGAAAGCCGAATAGCGTGAATACTATTCCTATCATCTCTTTTAGCGATCTACTTAATATACTCTTGCACACTGAAGAGGAAATAAAAAGTAAAATGGTCACAATTAGGACCAGGAAACCAAGTGAGAGGTTCCATGTAACATAGACACTGAGCACACTGAGTTACTATCTGGGCATGGAAGGTATTTGGTTATATGGATGGATCTGAACTGGGCCCTCACTGCTTGATAATGGATTTTAGGACATTCTAGTTTTCCAGATTCACTTTGCCCCCTTGAATGAAAAGGGGGAGCCCCTTAGTTAACTGAAAACTCTGTACCTCTTCCCATGCCTGGGTACCACCAACGTGAGACTCAGCAGAGGGTCAAAAGCATACGTGACAGTCATCTGTATTCCTGCACACTGCCTGCTTTTCCACTTGGGCATTGTAAACTACAAGGACAAGCCTGCTGGAACACACAGTGCATCTTCTGTCTGGCTTCTAAGTTTTGCAGAATGAAATTTCCAGTCCTTTCCTCCCACACGAAGGCACTGAAGGGACTTACTGTTGGCCAACCACACCCCAGATTCCCAGATGTTGCTTAACATGGAAGCAGAGGATAGGGGTAAAGAAATGGCCTGGGGATGCTGGCAAGCACCTCGGTGATACATGGGAGGGAACTTTTAAGAAAGGCAGTCTGAGTAGGTGCTCAGAGGTAACCCTGAAGTCTCATGATGGATGGAGACTTTATTCCAGAAGCAATAGGGAACCATTATGGGCTTTGGAGGCCAGGAGCGTGGGGGTGTGATTTGAGCTGTAGGGTAATAACCAGGGCAGGGAGGAGGAAGGAAAAGAGCACTTTCACAGAACTTGGTGTCAGCCTGCCCATCTGTCTCACAGTGTTTTTTCAGGTCCCTTCCTTAGGAACATGCTTTCCCCCATGGTTCTTTGGGTGACAGTTACTACCCTTCACCAGCTCCTTTTAGCCAAACAATGTCATTGTCAGTTTGTAAAAACACATAGTGTAATAGGCCGCTTCAAGATGTCTCAGTACCATTTGCTCTTTCTGCCTCTGTGTGGTCTCTTCCTCCTCACCTCCTCCTCCTCAAATCCTGTCTTCTTGGTCATCTCCAAAGGCTGAGGACTCTGGGGTTGTCCAGGGTCTGTCAGCCTTATGGGCTCTCAGCCACCAGGGACAGGTTGGCAATGAATGATCAGACCCTACTCCCACCTGGGTGCTGTGACCCTGGCCTCTCCTCTCCTACCCCCATCCTTGGTGAAGCTCCCAGCTTCACAACTGTACAGGGTGGCAGGGAGCCAAGCCCTGGAGTCAGATTGCTTGCATGATTGCCGTGTGACCTTGGGCAAGCCAACCTCTTTACGGTTTGATTTTGTCATCTGTCAAACAGGGGCACTCTTAGCAGTAGCAGAATTTGGGGGTTATTGTGTGAATTCAATGGATTTACTGGGGAATTTGAAGGGCTCATTTGTTATCCAGACCTCTTCCCTCATAGGATGGAGAGCTGAGGCTCAGAGGGGTTAAATCACCCCCATAAGTTGACCATGTCATGCAGAGGTCAGGATTGGTGCTGGCTCTCCAGTCCCATGATGCCGTACCATGTAGACTCACCCTGGGCATTCTTCCCATGCTTTGCATTTTCTGTGCCCCTTCTCTCCAGCTGAGCAAGGTCAGAACATCAGTTGACCTCCACCAGTCTGACTGTCTTATGTCATAGCCCAGTGATTCTTAGCTGTGAGCTGTGGCAACTGTTCTTTTTCTCTAACCCTGTCTGCTTGGAGACCCTAGTTCTCAGGTTTATTCTGCTTCAGGTCCCCTGGAGGGCTTGTGGCAGGGTCCTGATTTATTCCCTTACCATAGAGCATTTGCTCCAGCTGGCTAGGATTTGCAAGGTCTAAGGAGATAGGGGTATTGGTAGAGGCTGCACTTTGAGAAACTGTCTCAGAATGCTAATACTTGAGTGAGCTTTGTGTGAAGGCCTCGCTGTGGCTTGGGGACTACAAGCTAATTTGAATTCCTAGAGTTTACATTTTAACACTTTCCAAGGAAGCCCATGTGGCCACTCTTGGACTTTTTGGTAAACAAGGTGGTACAGCAGGCAGAATTTCCTTGGGACCACGGTAAAAGGCATTTAAGAAGTCATTTTGTCTTGAGCATATCAGCTATATTTTGCTCCTGTTCCCAAATGCCCAAGCTCAGCTTGCTCATGAGAGTGTTCCCAGTTAGCTGCCAGAGGACACTTTCCTCTGGGATGGGGATGTAGGACAGAACCTTTGAGAGGTAGAATGAGGAGGAGGCTTTTCTCCATGTCCACAACTCTCTATGACTCGCTCACATAGAATAAGATGCTTAATTATAGTCAAAAGCAAGGGTTCATGTTTATAATCCCAGCACCCAGGAGACTCAGGCAGGAGGATTTCCACAACAAGCTGGAGACTAGCCAGGGCAGCA